GAATAGCATGCGATGTTTATGCGGCAGTTTTGCGACATATAGTTGTAGGGTATGCAATATGATGGATATTATATTATATGTAATACTTGTTATTAGAGTATACAGTATGTAATGTCGCGTTTATAGGATATAATGTATTTATGTTACTTTTTATGACTGTTTAGTATTGCGCATATACAATAATGAATATTATATACTTAGTCTATGGCTACGATAGTCGTATACTGATATGGTATTAACTGTGCGATGATATACCGTATTCCTTCAGTTCTAAGATGCACTTTTTCCTTGATAAACGTCTCTAAAATTGAGGTCAGTTTCAGAATCGATGGGGTTTTAGAATCGAAGTTTTTCTTTGAATTTTCCCGCATTTTGCCCACGGCAGCACATTTTATGTATAAGCGGAAGCCCCGCCTCCAAGTATGACCGTTTTCCTATTCCCAATTTCAATTGGAGAAGCAAGTGGCATGGATGTTTCTCTGCTCTTTCTAAATGTGAAGTCATTTCATTACAGTGGAGCTCATTCAGCGACAGTTAGGAAGTTTTGATTATATCCTTGAAATTACGTAAGAAGTCGAGTTATGTACTTCGACCGTAATTCGTAATTTTGATATCCTATTTCACATTAATAGATTGTCGAAACGATTGCACTGCGATGCCGTACTGAAACTGTAAGTTATTGTGGATGCAGATGAACAGGGAAGCAGATAAGAGGGCCGACATTTTGACATTAGTGAAGTAAATTTTTGTCCTTGGAGAAATTGCCGCAATTACATGTTTTCGTGCAATGCAACAACCAAGTGCTTAGGAATCGAAGATTTCCACTATGAAGCTGTAAAATGTTTGTACCGGAGACACGAACAAAATGATTACCCATTATTCGACAAACCATGCAACTGAAAGCCACAGAAATTGCTAAATGCCTCTGAATAGAGAAAATAATTTGTAAGAGCAGTTGTGGCTTGTGCGACCGACTCTTGCGTCGTAGCGGGTTAACCTTAAGGCGCCGAACATCTGTCTGTCAAAAAGTTCCTGTGGATTTTCAACAGAAATTGATTAACTTTCTGCGACATGTGATCAAATTAGGGAAAAAAGAAACTACGAGTTTGGTCAAATTAGAAATGTTGATGAAACCCTTTTTTTCTTCAGTATGCCTTGAAATTACACCGTCAATGCTAATGGTGCTAAGGCAGTCAAAATTACAAGTTCGGGCTGCGATAAGCAGCGTATCACTGTGATGCCGCGCATCATCGTTGATGGTCGTAAGTTGCAGCCATATTTAATTTAAAATTAAAAAAATCATACCGAAGAATGAAATTTTCTCCATAGATGTTATTGTGCATGCACAAAAAATGGATGGATGACGGCATATCTTATGGAAGAGTGGCTAAATATTGTGTAGAATAGACGTCCTGGAAGTCTTGGTAACCCATCTGGCATGCTAGTGCTTCATGCATTGCGTGGACATTTGTCCGAACAGGTCAAAAAAAAATAAAATCATCCAAAAACAAGGTGACTTGGTTGTGATTCCTGTTAGCATGAGTAGCTAATTGGAGCCACTCGACGTTTCAGAAAACAAACCATTTGAGAATTAATTGAGAAAGAAATATAAATCCTGGCTATTGACTGACAACCTACCTTCCGGATAAACTGACAAGTGCCAACAGCAAAATTAGCAGAATGGGTATCAACAGATTTGAAGCTAATCCCAAAAGGAATAGTGCAGCACTCATTTAAAAATGTAACATTGCCGGCGCTCTCGATGGCTTACAAGATGATATGTTATGGGATAAAAATGAAGAAGACTTAGAAGAGTCAGACTCTGAATTTGAGGTGGACTCTGATATTGATTCGGATGCAGATATCGACGGCTCAAGAGAATCAAACTGATATTTATTCAGAAGGAAGTGATAATAACACCTATTAACAAATAACTTTTGTTGTTAGTAAATTGTATTCTATTATAATATGAATTCTTGAATCAAAGATTTTTCCTTTTGGTACTATTAAAACTAAGGCGCATCTTTCAGTCGAAGAAATACGGTATTTTCTTCTCTGTTGTTCTTATAACATTTATAATAGATACTATTTCTGTTGATTATATGTTGCATTGTATTGTTGTATAGTGTATTTGCTGTATACTATATTGCATGTTTTGTATTAAATCGTAAGATTGAAAGGTAAGGTTAGAAATGAAACGCCACGTTTGTAGCGAACGTTTGGATATAATTTGGAGTCGCTT